TCCTCACAGTAGTACTGGAGGCGAGAGCTGTGTCATCTAAAGTAACTATATAATTAGACAGCAGATTTCTAAGGTTTTAAGGCCCAAAAACAATAAGTTCAGTTTTGTCGAAGTTAAGGAGTAACAAATTACAGGTCATCCAGGCTTTTATGTCTTTAAGACATGCCTGATCTTATTCATCTGGCTTCATAGATAAATATAACAGAATCAATTGCGTAGCAATGGAAATTTATGCCGCATTTCCTGATGATATTGACTAAAGTATAAAGTGAAGAGAATTGGACCTAACACAGAGCCCTGTGGAACGCCATGACTAACTGCAGTCTGTGTGGAAGATTCATCATTAATATGCACAAATTGAAATCTTTCTGATAGGTAAGATTTGAACCAACTTAGTTCAGTTCCTTTAATCCCAATAACATGTTCAAGTCTCTGCAGTAAGATGCTGTGATCAATGGTGTCAAAAACAGCACTGAGATGTAAGAGGACAAGTATGGAGACAAGTCCTTTGTCTGAGGCTAGGAGAAGATCATTGGTGACTTTCACCAATACAGCTTCTGTACTATGATGGACTCTAAATCCTGACTGAAAATCCTCAAACAAATCATTCTTGTGCAAGTGGTCACATACTGTAACTGCTTTGCAACAGCTTTTTCAGGAAACTTTAGAAATAAACAGGGAGATTAGATATTGGTCTATAATTAGCTAGGACACCTGGGTCAAGAGTAGACTTTTTTGAGTAGAGGTTTAATTACTGCAAGTTTAAAAGCCTGTGGAACATAGCCTGTTAATAGAGAGAGGTTAATCAGATCTAATATGGATGTGTTGATTAGGGGAAAGACGTCTTTGAGAGCCTGGTCGGGATGGGGTCCAGGAGACATGTTGATGATTTAGATGAAGCAATTGTTGAGGACAACTCAGAGACATCAATGGGAGAGAAGCAGACCAAGTATAACTGAGGTCTTACAGATCTTTCTAAAGCCACTGTACTTGACGACACATCTGTGAGAGTTGTGGGAATGGTTTGATTAATTTTTTCTCTAACAGTTGTGATTTTATTTGTAAAGAAGCTCATGACGTCATTACTGCTGAGATCTAAGGGAATGTTAAGCTCAACGGCACTGTGGCTCTTTATCAGCCTGGCTACAGTGTTGAAAAGAAACCTGGGGTTGTTCTTATTTTCCTCTATCAGTGATGAATAATATGCGGTTCTGGCACTACGAAGGGCTTTTTTATATGTTATTAAACCATCTTTCCAGGCTATGAAAAACTCTGACTTACTGGAGCGCCACCTCCTTTCCGGCTTTTGTGATGCTTGCTTTAGGGAGCGGAGCTGCAAGCTGTACCATGGGGCTAGCCTCCTCTGTTTCACTGCCATCTTTTTCAGCAGGGCAATGGTATCAAGTGTATTACGCAGGGAGGCTGTAGCACTATCAACAAGATTATCGACTTGTGTGGGAGTAAAGTTAATGTGGCTTCCCTCCACTGTGTTGGCAAATGGCACTGAAGTAAGTAATGATGGAGATATTTCCTTAAACTTGGTAACAGCACTGTCAGATAGGCATCTACTGTAGTGGATCACAATACGCCTACAGAAAGAACCGGTCCATGTGAGATGCAGTGTCCTCTATCATCCACACTGCTCTCGTCCAGCAAGTACCCAAGCAATCATATTGTAAAGTTTGCAGACGACACAGTGGTTGTGGGATTAATATCCCACAATGACTAGTCTGTGTACAGAAGGTGGAGAATCTTGTGGACTGGTGCAGGGCAAACAACTTCTGCATCAATGTGGACAAGACGAAGTAGATGGTGGTGGACTTTAGGAGGAGTGGCCATACCCCACTTCCTCTTTTTATCAGAGTTGTGGCTGTGGAAATGGTTTCCAGTGTGAAGTGCTTAGGGCTTCACATTTCTAGGGACTTTACATGGACCATTAATACAGCTACCATCATTAAGAAGGCCCACCAGCATCTATATTTCCTAAGGAGGCTTGAGTGGGCTGGCCTGGATGCTCCGGTTTTTACGCCTTCTACCGGTGTGTGGTGGAGAGCATCCTGGCATCCTGCATCATGGTCTGTTATGGGAGCTGCTCTGCTGCTGATAGGAAGGCACTGCAGAGGGTCATTAAATCGGCCCAAAAAACCATCATACACTGCAGTCTACCTTCCATTGAGGACATCTACATCAGCAGACTAGACCACAGCCTCCTCTATCATGGATGACCCACACACCCAGCACATGGACTGTTTGAACTCCTTCCCTCAGGCAGGAGGCTGTGGAGCATCAAGGCCAGGCCCACCAGGCTCAAATCCAGTTTTCTACAGAAGCTATGAGAATTATGAACTCTAGGCCTCTGTGATGGACAGATGCATTTTAGATATGATGCCCATTGCTTTAAATGCTGTTGTTACATTAGGTTTTATCTTTAGAGCGTATTATTTATTGGCATATTATTATTTTATATGCTTTTAATACGTGTTTATTAATATAATGTATGCTGGTCCTGAGTGACTAATTTCGTTCTTCATATGTCAAACGTGTAGAATGACAATAAAGGAACCTTGCACCTTGAAAACCTTTGGGGTTATACTAATTCAGCACAAACAAGTCAGGTGATAGACCAAGTTTAAATCAGCTCTTTGTAAACCTGACATGGAAAAAGTAAAAAAAACAAACAACCTGTGCCTGTGTTAAATGGTTTTATCCTTATTTACATTCTGGACTCCTGCATACTATGAAGGAGCCCCCTAAATTATTGAACTCTCTTCTTCTTGCCATATATTTCTCCTGTTCTGTTGAGCTTTTCTGTGTGTAAAAAAAAACAAGCCTAAATATCAGATTTGTTATCAAAATCATGAAAATTTCAAGCCCTGGATATGTTTTCCATATTATTCCTAGAAGGTTTAGAACATATCCAGTACAGTGAACTTAGCATTCTTTACACTATTTCTAACAATGTATTATCTTTCAAATATTCCTAATGTAATCAATATTAAGTTTTACCATGACCCCATTTAACCTTACTTTTCATCACATCATATGTTAACACAGTGTGAACTTATGCTGTTTTTCACATATGATGTCAGTATAAACCAAGAACTGTCTTCTTTCACCTGCACAATATCACAAAAACCAGGAGCATCCTGTCTCAAAGTGATACAGAAAAACTGGTCCATGCATCTGTTACAATAGTCCAGCCTGGAAGTAACTCTTTACTATCAGGATGTCCCAATAATTCCCTAAAAAGCCTCTAGTTAATCCAAAATGCTGCAGCCAGAGTACTGCCAGGAACTAGCAAAAGACATCATATCTCTCTCATATTAGTTTCTCTCCACTGGCTCCCTGTAAAATCCAGAATAGAATTTAAAATCCTTCTTCTATCATACAAAGCCCTTAATGACAAAGGTTCCATCACATCTTAAAGACCTCATAGTGCCTTATCATCCCGGCAGAGCAGTTTGCCCTCAGACTGCAGGTCTACTTGTGGTTCCTAGAGTCCACAGACGTAGAATGGGAGGCAGAGTCTTTAGCTATAAAGCTCCTTTCCTGTGGAACCAACTCCCAGTCTCAGTTCAGGAAGCAGACACCCTCTTAGTTATGCTGCTATAGGCCTACGATGCTGGGGGCCCCATAATGCTCTGAGTTTCTCTCCTCTCTTCCCCTCCCCTCCACTCCTCTCTCGTTATCCATCTATATGCCACCATTACATGCCACTAACTGTGTGTCTCCTTTCTCCTGTAATGTGCCCTCTCTCTCCCTGTATCTTTCTGCAGGTCCTGCAGGCTCTGGAGCTCTATGTTTCTGATGAGCAGTTACCATCCACATCAGCCTGACCAGTGTTTGATTGTTTTTTGTGTCTTGTTGCTTTTCTTTTTCCACTCATCCTTCCTCTAGTCACTCATCCCAACCAGTCGAGGCAGAAGGCCGCCCACCAAGAGTCAGGGTTTTTGGAGGTTTCTTCCATTTAAGGGAGTTTTTTTCCCTCCTCACTGTCAAGTGCTGCTCAAGGGGGATTTGTTGTGTTGGGTTTCTCCTCTATATTAATAATAATAATGATAATAATAATAATAGTGAGCCGTCCCTGGTAGGCTAGTGGTTAAGGCGCAGCGCTCTCACCGCTGCGGCCTGGGTTCGAATCAGGGTTGCGTCATTTCAAAAAGACCTGAATCCACACTAAAGTGTTTAGATGACAGAACTGAAATGTATGCTTCCTCTGGTGAGATATTCCTGTTCCTTGAACACATCAACAAATGTGTGCTAATCTTGATCGTTCACACAGACAGCAGCGGGCAAAGTAAATTATGATATTAGCAGATAAGAAAGGTAAAAGTGATGAATGGACACACATGTTGCCTCTGTGACAACAGAAAAGTGACTCAGTGATGGACAATGTTCTGCAACACTGTTATTACAGGGGGTGGTAGACAAGCTTACTGCCAGAGTTGGAAATAATCAAGCATCCAGGCAGATAATTAGCTGAGGAATTCCTGTGGGAGGAAGAGCTGAGGTGGGAATCTCTCAGTCCCACCAGCTTCCTCACTGCCTGTGAATGTCATCGGGTGGTACAGAACACTATACTATATTCCTCTGAAGTGACCCTGATCTGTTTGAAGAAGTCATCACATTCTGTCTCCACTCTTAAACCTCCTGCATGTGAGAGGCCCTGCAGACTGTTTGAGCAGCCTGTTATTCAGCCTACAAACAGTAAGTGGATTAACTCTGACCCCGCTGTGTTCCATATGCCCATAAGGCCTGGTTGTCAAACTAGGGTGAACGATTCAGCATCTTTCAAACATAAACTGAATATCATTCTTCGCACACCAAACACACACAGGTGGACACTTGTGCACGTATACACAAAACCACATGTGCATCTTCCTAACACTTCTGGGGAAGTTTCTACTTTGCAATCCTTATAGGATTGCAGCTGATATACACACAGTGTCAGACAACACTTACCACAGGACAGAGCGACTGGGTGAGTGTCTGTAGTGTACCTGGACGAGTTTGTCCTGTGGTCTGAGGCCTGCTTTCTGTGCTGGAGAATCTTCATCCACAGCTCTGATGAACTGGCCAGGTTTGGACTTCTCACTGTGCAGATTGAAGCCATAGCCATTAGGGCCCTTCGTCAGGTGGCAGAGACGAGGTCGCAGCCCACATCTCTCCTCCTGCATAGAAAATGCACTAAAAATCAGCATGGCAGCATGTTTCAAAGGGTAAACAGTTTAATTTTCCTAGCTTTACAGCTGGTCAATGCTGATTTCACTGGGTGCTGAGATTCTAGGCTTTCCAAAAATCCCTAAAGTGAGCCTGGCCCCTAAAATATCTATAAAAGCCCAAGAAAAAGATAAACAAAAACCATAACAAAAGCAAAAACAAAAACAAAAGATAAGTATAGAAGATATAGAAGTCATAATTGATAATTAAGAATTCTGTTAATAGTCAGTAGGTCAAAATTTTAACTTGTGCCTAATATATACACTAATATTGTAACTTGGAGTGGACGATGCTGAATGAAGTTTCATTGTGTTTTTTTATGTGATGATAAAGTATATCTTATATTTACAATTTAAAGGTATGAGATATTGAGTAAACACTGAAATAGGAAGTCAAAAGTATGAAAATTGACAAGACAGTCACATTTAGGCCTTCTTAAGTGAGAATTATGAGACACAAGGTAATATATGTGCCTTAGTAAGTCACATATGTCAAAATTATTAATTTTTAGGTAAAACATGTTAACAATAAGCAGACAATATTTACTTGGTCACTCTTAGGGCTGTCACTCTTTGTCACAAACATTTGTTCAAACATGATAAAAAAGATAAAAATTCTAACTGTATTAACCTGTTTGAATCAACAATGTATACAATGTCAGTACACACAACAAACTGCTTCAATATGCCTTATGGTCCAACTGAGGAATATTCACTATCAGCTTGACCAATTACATGTCCCGTTGACCTCTCAGTAAAGTAAGATACTAACATGTTGACAAGCAGTGGTGCCTGCAGCTGTAATCCTATACACACTGTGCATACTTTTTTGAAAATGATTTTGCTCAATATGTCCATCTGGCAGTCACTGCATGATCAACATATAGTATAGGCTATAGCCTATATAGAAATATAGTCTCAAACTTATGGCCCGAGGGGCTATATCTAATATGATACCACACACCCCTAGAGTAGATCATAGCCTACTCCCTATCATGCAAGTAAAGTCTATGCACACATTGACTTTACTTGCTACCAGTGCCTGTAATGTTTTTGGGACTTGTGCAGGGCATCTTCTATTTATCATGTCTCATGAGCTGCATTCATGTGTTATTTTGTGGGCTAATTATTGTGTGTGGATTTAAGTGTCAGATCAGAGAGTCTCAAGGACTGGCTGGAGTGCACCTCCTAATAGCGCGAGGGTCGATGCTGAAATGAATGAGCTAAGCAAGTGCTACCTAAAGTTAAGAGTGTGCGCTGCTGTCAGTCAGTTCAGTAGCCTACTGTATATCTTGTTTTAATGTGAAAGGGTCCCATTTTAAAGAGAACTTAGATCTAGTTACAAAGAGTTTAGTAAACATTTTTTCTCATGGTGGCAGCAGTAGCAGGTGGTTCTTGTGCATGCTATAGAATATAATCCTGAAGAGTCTATCCTTATCAATTAATGATCCCACAACAAAACCACTTTATATTACACCACTATTCATTCCATATACACCTGTATAAGTGTGGGAAGCATGTTTTGCTAAGCTTTTATAACTACTTTATTCAAGCTGTGAAGAATAGCACTTTTGATAGACCAGTATCTCTATCAAATAATACTCCCACTGCAAAGTTGGATGGTTGTATGGGTGTGGCAGCAATATAATAATAATAATAAACATCATTTATATAGCACTTTACAACTTGGGGAGCCCAAAGTGCTGCATAAAATAAGGATAACTATACACTAAAACAATACTAAAACTGACAGAGCACTACTAAACCATAACCCAATAATCATAAAATATAAAACATGTGCACAATGCCGTTCAATGGCAAATAAAAAAAATTAAAGCTCGAAAGCTTGTTAAAAAAGATACGTTTTTAATCTGGATTTAAAAACCGTTAGCTTGTTCGTAGATCGAATCTCTAGCGGTAGTGAGTTCCACAGTCGAGGGCCATAAATAGCAAATGCGCGGTCCCCCCAATTTTTGGATCGGGACCATGGGACCACTAGGGATAAGTTTTCTGAGGAGCGCAAGGCTCTGCACAAAACATAAATAAATAAAAGATCTGCCAAGTAAGGTGAGGCAAGGCCGTGTAAGGCTTTAAACAAATAAAAGAGTCTTAACCATGATCCTAAAATGTACAGGCAGCCAGTGTAAAGTGTGGAGAACCGGAGTAATGTGGGCAAGCCTGGGAGTGTTGGACAAAAGCCGAGCTGCTGCATTTTGGACCAGCTGGAGTTTTCTAAGCAGCGACCGAGGTATACCAACATACAGGGCATTGCAGTAATCTAAACGCAAAGTGATAAAAGCATGAATCGCCTTTTCTAAGTTTCCCCGAGATAAAAAAGGCTTAACCTTAGTTGAGTCTGAGATCTGATCTGCTTATCAAACTTAAAACCCGTATCAAATATCACTCCCAGGTTTTTTACCATGTCTGTGAATGCAGGGGCAGGAGCAGCTGCACATAAGCTGGATACACCTGTGGCTTGGTCGGGGCTAATAAGAATAAATTCCGTCTTATTCTCGTTTAAGTGGAGAAAATTCTGAGCAAGCCAATTCTTAATATTTCGAATACAGTCATACAATGGAGTAAATGCTTTTGGGTCAGACAACACCAGTGGCATATAGATTTGAATGTTGTCCGCGTAGAAATGAAAATGAACATTATGCCTGGATATAATTGACGTCATTCAGCCATGGGTCAACAGAGTTCCTAGCCCTCCTTTTCACCAAGGGAGTGATGGACTCCATAATCGTAAAACAAGTAGAGTCAAATAAGCTATGGAACATCGTGAACCCCAGATTTTGGTGCACAGATGTTTTTGATTTGTAAACAAACAGGCTATATAGAACATATTCTTGCAAGTTTTTAAATGTTGCGTAAGAATAGGCCTATGGCTGTATACGTATATATGCATACATATACAGTGGGTACGAAAAGTATTCAGACCCCCTTAAATTTTTCACTCTTTGTTATATTGCAGCCATATGCTAAAATCATTTAAGTTCATTTTTTTTCTCATTAATGTACACACAGCACCCCATATTGACAGAAAAACACAGAATTTTTTGACATTATTGCAGATTTATTAAAAAAGAAAAACCTGAAATATCACATGGTCATAAGTATTCAGACCCTTTGCTGTGACACTCATATATTTAACTTAGGTGCTGTCCATTTCTTCTGATCATCCCTGAGATGGTTCTACACCTTCATTTGAGTCCAGCTGTGTTTGATTATACTGATTGGACATGATTAGGAAAGCCACTCACTTTTTGTTATATAGGAGGTTAGCAGGTCATTCTGTTTTTCCCCGATTGAGGGGGGATCTAATGCCTTCAGAAAATCTTTTATTTGTTCACTATTAGCGGAGGGAGGTTGGCTATGTAACCGTTCATAACTTCTAAATAAATTTTCTATCTCTGCTGGTTCATATGTAATCTGACCTGTTTTGTCATCTTTTAATTGGTGAATTGTTCTTTGAACTTGTTGTTTTCTAAGTTTTTTTGGCTAATAACCTAGTTGCTTTCAGTCCAACCTCATAAGATTGCCTAAGGAATTTAGATTTCTTCTCAATTTCTGAAGTCAGTAGTCAATCAATTCTGTTTCTTACTTCTTATATTGTTGGCAATAAATCTGGGTTTAATGTTATTTTATGCTGGTTTTCTAGTGCTCTCAATTTACTCTTTTCTTTTTCATACATTTCATTCGTGGCCCTTTTTAGAGCTGCAGTTTTAGAAATCAGCTTTCCTCTCATAACGGCTTTGAGAGCATCCCATAGAAAAACTGAGTTAACCTCCTCATTATCATTTTCTTCTAAATACCTTCCAATATATGATTATTAGATGGTGCATAAGTATTAACTAATGTTACTTTTTCATTTTCCAAGTTTCCTTTTACAATGACATACTGTATTTCCCTTCCTTATCACTAACTTCTTTACAACATTCAAATTTTAGGGAATTATGTCTGAGTGTTGTCAGTCCCCTTTTACATCCATGCCTAAATATGCTATAGAATAGTTTTGTAAAGCCAAATCCTTTAAGTTTCTCATTTTCTGATCTGGATAGGTAGGTTTCTTGTAGGTAAACAATCTGTGCCTTTTCTTTACTTCTTTCTTTCTTTATTATTTTCTTCTGTTTCACAGGATTATTCAGTCTATTCACTTTCAGCGACACTATCTTGATGTTATTTTCCATTATTTCTTTTGCTAAAAGGCACCATATTGGTCAAACACAAATGTCCCAAAAATAAACGTAAACAAATTACTGAGCTTCAAAAGAACACAGAACATTGGAACTTCCAAAAGGGGGGATATTTCCAAAAATCCCCTTTGGTCCCTGTTGGTGGGTAGAGGGTAAAATACCACACTGTCTACGTTGGAACTCGATGAGCTTTGTTGGACTCAACCAGTCCTGCATGTTCTTTTATGAAGAATGCTCAAAGACAAATCTGTCCATTTAAGATATTTATTACAATATTCAAGAAAAGCAATACAGAGCTCTGGGTTCTGTCTCTATCTGAAGCCCTATCCACACACAGAAGTATGGTTCACAGCTGCTTTCAGGAAGCCGGAACCCCTAGTCTCCTCACCCCAGAGAATATATAATACAGCCATGAATATGCAAATGATGGTAGATCTGACGTCATCCGTGTTGTCCTTCATCCTCGTTCCTTGGTTGGTTTGTTGACCTCGTTCTGACCCCTCATTTGGTGATCTTGTCGCCAGGCAGATTTTGATCTGTGACTTATTACTTTTTAGTCTGCCTTTTCTATCTCACTTTATGTTATATAGGAGGTTAGAAGGTCATTCTGTTTTTCCCTGATTGAGGGAAGATCTAATGCCTGCAGAAAATCTTTTATTTGTTCACTATTAGCGGAGGAAAGTTGGCTATATAACCGTTCATAATAACTTTTAAATAAATTTTCTATCTCTGCTGGTTCACATGTAATCTAATGTT